GAGGCTGTCCGGAGTAGTTACAGGTAGCCCCAGGCGGGCTGCAAGCAGCTGCAGCATGGGGCACCAGGCATGGGGTGGGGGTGGGGCCACTTCCCCCTCCCCACACTCCTTCCCTGCCTAGGGTCCCCCCCTGCCCTTCTCCCCCCCCCTTACCTGTGGTTCTGGTGCAGGGCAGCTACATGCTCCCAGGCCAGAAACCCCAGCAGTGGGGCGGGGCCGGGCAGGCTCTGCTATTGTGGTAGCTCACCAGGCTTCCCCTGGGTCCTACTGCCTTAGGTTCCTGTCATTTTTGACAAGAACTAAGGGCAGATGAATATTAATATTTTACCTTTTTTTTTATGGGCCCTGCGGGCTGGATAGAATGGCCTTGTGGGATGGTTTCAGCCCACGGGCTGTATTTTGCACACCCCTGCTGTAAACTGTTATTCAATCCCTAAAAGACATACAGGACAAGACTTTATTCCAACTATTAGGAGTCTAAATGGACTTAAGTACAACTCTCTTCCATCCTGCTCAAGTCCCTGAATCACACTTAGAAACCTAAATTCACTCAAATGCCCAATGATGGAATAGAGTACAGACCATGATGTTTGCAAAAAATAATGTGCAGAGTAACATAAAATAATGGTGACTGTAAAAAGTGTAATCAGTTGAAGTTTTGAATCTATGATGTCTAACTTGTAAAGGCGGATATGAATGTATAAGTAGATGGGTGTTTATATCTACAGTTCTGCTGTGATTGTGGTTGGCTTTTGTCATGGTAGCTGTTTAATATTCAAAAGAAGTAGACAGTTTTTTGTTTTGTGAGCATATATTTTTCTTGGAGAAAGTCTATGAAAAATCACCTGTAGAAAAATAGGACTGAAATCGCCCTGAGGAGGTCAGGTAGCCTAACCACTTGCTCAGAACAGGAGCATTATTGTTTAAACTATTCCAGATAAAAGTTTTTCTAAACTATACTGAAAAACCTCCCCCATCTGTCTAAAATAATCTGTTCCAGTACATAGCCTTCCTCAGAGTTAGAAGGTTCTTCCTCATATTAAACCTAGATATTCCTGCATAAGTCCATTACTACTTTTCCTGTCCACAGTAGACACAAACAGCAACTGATTATCATCATTTTTATATCTTTTTTTTTTCTGGTCATTCTCTCCTCCCAGTTATCCCTTCTCTACCCTAAATAATTCCAGTCTTTCAGCTATTACTCAAGTATCATGTATTCAACACCTCAAATCATGTTTGGTTCCCCCCCTCACTCCAGGACTCTTCAATTTATCCACATCTTTCTTAAAGTGTAGTGCCTGAAACTGGACACAGTACACCAGGTGAGTCCTCACCAGTGTAGAACAGAGCAGAAATATTGTGTGCCCATAACTTGAATATGACGCTCTTACTGATTACATCCAGCATGCTATTAACTTTTTTGCAACAATATTATACCCTTAAATCTTATATTCATATCACTATGCCCTATAGCGCCCCCCACCTCCCACTCAGTCATGTTGCCCTTCTTCCTCCTGATTGTCTCATAAATAAAGCATGTTTTAAGGGACTGACCATGAATGAATGAATAAATAACTCTTCAAGAAAAAAATCAAGCTTGGAAGACTGTTGAGAAAGTTATGAGCTTGTGAAAAGGGAGTTGTGATCTATTTGTGTTTTGCAACATTGAGATATCAGCTGAGGTAACCTGGTATCATCAGCAAACAACAGAAAAGAGATAAAAGAAGGCAGTAACCTCAGTGTCTTGATAGTCTCATTTTTGTCTTCTATTTAGTTGAGAGCTAATATTGGACACAGACACAAAATAATTGGTGAACTCTTGGTCGGATTGATCTCAATTGGTGTTTTACTATTGTCTTCAACAGAGCTATGATTTCACCCAGGGTATGCTAAAAATAATAGAACATTAATATTATTTTCTTCCCTTAGCAAGCACAATTCCAGCAAGATATACAAACTTCCTGAGGATGTTGCAGATAGTTGTGTTATGCCAAAGCCCAAGGAGGCTTTTGCACTGGCAAAAACGACAACATAAAAAGCATCAAACATTTGGGGGTATTATTATGATCACATGTAAAGATTCTTTAACATGAAGATCTGCTTTAGTAAACAACTCATCTCAGATGCTGAAACAATTTCTTTCTAAACACAGATTTAATAAGCTCCAAAGCAATCCAGTTGAGTCTATTTATATAGTAGGAATGGTCTTGAATACGCTTCCTAAGACATCATCTATTGTACAGTCTCTAATCTTCTAATATGAAATATAAGTAAGTAAATTATATTTAAGCAATGGCTCTTTTGGCAAATATTAACTAAAAATCATTAAAATTTTGATGATATTCCTTCTTCCTTTCTTATTCTTTATTTGTTCATCTATGTGTAATCATGTAAAATAATTTTAAGATTCTTTGTGAATTTCTGAATGAATGATTGATTTATACTTTTCCTAGATTAGTAGGGGTTTAAGGTTCTGTCATATGTACCTGGAAAGATAAACTTCACTAGACGTGCTGTAAAGTCCTAGATTTGACCTCTGACTCTAAATAACTAAGTTTGAACTCTGCTTCTGCTATTAGTTAATATATTTTTAAATATCAATAGAATTGCTGGCAATGCATGTTATTTTCTTATGTGAGCCATATGTAAAATAAAACTGCAAACAGGTATAGTGAAGGTCCAAGAATACACAGCAGCCATATATCCATATATTATGAGTTACAGTTGAAAAACAAAGGAACCACATATTATTTCAAAAGTAATTTTCACTGCATTTGCATGAAGTCCTTGTTTCAATCAAATCTGTCCATTTTAATGGCAGCTGTACAAACACAGGTTTTCAAGTTCTGTGCAGATAATGTCTTTACCATTGTATATTAAAGTAATTCCTGTAGAGTTTGCTCATGTCAACATATACTATAGGGAAGTATAGGTTTTTAAATCTTACAGAGCATACATGCTCCATTAGGGTGCACCTGACAAAATAAGCCTGAGTGTTGAAAAACCAATACAAGTGTATCCTCAAATATTAATTTATTGGAAACCTAAAGATTCTCATTCAAAGAACCCAAATGGTTCTCTCTCTCTCAACCTGCATAAAGATAAAAAAAATCCCCTAGCACCATCAAAACCACAAAAAGAAAAATTTGAATCATTACTGTGGAGTGACCTCACTAAACCCATGTCAAGAAAAACAAAAACAGGTAAAGTAGAATTATTCTTTACATGAACAGAGTAACTGTATGAGATTAACTCTGAGGACATTCATGGAATTTTTTGACTCTTTGTAGAAAAGCTAAATGGTTTTATATTTTATACTTTATCCAAGTCTAAGCTCAAATTTTAGGGAGACACTTTATTTATTGGTAAAACAACAAAAAAAAATCTCAGAAAGGAAATATCGTATTTGTAGACTATGGTTCTTATCCAATGAAGCACTTAAACACACACTTAGCTTTAAGCTTGGGAGGTATCCTGTGGAGTTTTGTAAGATTATTCCCATGCTTAAAGTTAAATGTGCTACAGAGTTTGCTGGACAGTGGCCTAAATATAACTGTCTTTCAGAAATGAACAGTTCAGTGCTGGTGAAGGGAAGTAATGGCATTTTTGCTTGCACTTTAATTTATAAATTGTATGAAGTATGAAATACCGAAAGTCTATTAATTGAACTGCATGAAGTGATAAAGCTATTGTGTACTGGAGTGTCCAAATTTGTTTTCTGGCAAGTATAGGTATCAGAACCATTTGCAGCCAAAGAAAGTACTTACTGATTGCAGAGTCATAGGAGGTTGAGTTGTATTCATCTCGGATACGAGGAAATGGTGAGAGGTAAGCATGTGTGCAATTTTTAGAAGGTGGCTGGTTGGCTAGGAAAAAGAAGAAAAAGGTTAAACATTAATGTTTATAAAGATGCACTGCGTCTTTTCCCAACAGAATAATTTAAAACAGTCTGAAGTGTTGTGCTGAGTTCTATAGTCCAGTCTATAAGGCTGGTTTCTTTGGGGGTTTTTTTGGACAAAATTTTATGAAATTCCATGTAAATTTTACTACAGCAAGAGAGGCAATATCCACTTTGGCCCCATTCCTATTGTACTAAATGGCTTCATACCAGAGATCAATTCTACCCATTTTGCCTCCCTTTTAGTAACAGCCCTATCTGAGGAGAATTCCCAGCTAGGGCAGGTTAAAGGAAACTTTATGCTGCTACAGAAGTAGAATGACTTTAGTGACAGCCAGAATATAGTTCAATAAAGTTATACGTACATGCTTTTCTAAGGACTAAAGGTGAGAACCAGAGAGTGTTTGTAAAATGAACTTAAGCAGAATATTAGTACCTCAGTCCAGAAAAGTGGTCCAGAAAACCCCCATATCAGCAGGCACGAAACCCCTTATTCACCATTTGATGCCTGCATTTCAGACCATCAAGTTCCATAAGTAACCTCAGCTTAGGTTTCTGAGCAAGCACTGAATCATTCGAGTCTGAGCAGCCTAGTTCCTGCCTATGCTCTGTTGCAATACAAACATGAGATGCAGTGGCAATTAAACTCTACCTAAGTCTCCAGGGAGGCCTAATCCATTAGGTGCGCTGAGAAGGCATAATGCATACCAATAGCACAAAACACAGTATCCACAGTCACTTTCATTCAAAAGAATGGCTGGAGAAGGAATCTGCCCCCCTTAAGAAACTTAATTATTACAGCAACCATCTAAAAAATGGGAGACGTGTTCTTGGCCCTCCTCAGCCCAGAAGGATTCAACTACATCTCTTACTTTGCAGAAATTACCCCAATAGGAGAGCTGTGTAAGAGGGAAAACATCCACTCCCACTGTTGAAGTAGCTGAGCCACTCCATAGAATAGAATGCAAGTGGCAGTGGAAGTACTGTTTAGTGGTTAAGGCACTTAGACAAGAGAGGGAGTTCTAGGGCAGGGGTGGGTAAAATGTGGCCCTTGGACCAGATGTGATCTGCCAGACTATTGTATCTAGCCCATGGGGCCCCTAAAAAATTTAAAAAATTAATTTTTATCTGCCCCTGGCTGCCTGTCATGCAGCTCTCGATGGCTTCCCAAAACTCAGTAGGCAGCCCTGCACCTGAAATAATTGCCCACCCCTGATTTAGGGTCTGGTCCCTGAAAGCTTATTTCTGCTTTTTATCCTATAGCTGTCTAAATACATTAAGAATCCTTCATGGGAACTGAGGCTATAACCCAGGACTCATACCTCCCAGGAATTGTGGAGTCAGGTTCCCATTTCATTGTTCTCTGTCTGGCTCCATGATCCTGCATTTTTAGCTAGACAATGACCCAGCTTCAACCAGCTAGATGGTTCAATATTGCACGGGTTAGGATACTCTCATATGCGTGTTAAGGGTGGTCTAGAACCCAGCTCTCTCATTGGTAAAGTTCTCTACTTGTTAGGCTGTTATAGTAAACTTAGGTGCCACTACTACTACTGTCTTTCTAAAAAGCATTAGGTACTGCCTGTTATGGGCCAACTCTCAGGAAAGAAATCTGAACTCAGGATCCTAAGTGGATGGAGGTACTTAAAATGCAGCCCTGAATTAGGGCAGTGAGATAAATCAAAAGCTGTGAAAAAGTTTGTGTTTTCAACCAAAGCCTCTGGTGCCAATATCTCCCGGAAAAAAGATGCTTTCATTTTTCCCAATCTGAAAAGTTCATAAAAGGCCTATCACCTTCATTCTTCCCTGTGCATGATGAATATTCACTAGATTAAATGGATTAAATATTTCAAACTTCCAAATGCCGAATGTTCTTGACAATTTCAAGGCTTAGAAGATTCAAGGGAAGTTAGCTACAGAAGGCATTACATGCGTTACCTAATGTTGAATGACATGGATAGCAAAACATGGCACATTGATGTTACACCAGCACAATGCAGCTCTTCTCCAACCTTCCAGTTGTCACAAGCTCTGTGGAAATCCAGTAAGGGGATCTATGATTGAGAGATGGACCAAGAGCAATGAAAGGGACTTTCTGTGACCAGCCTACTTATGGGAGATTCCTGATGGTAAATCCAGTTACAAAAAGTGCTGCCTTCAAGAAGTGTACCTGTAGAAGACATCAGATGGTACTTTGTACCTTAGTACCTCTCAGCAACCTTTCAGCTGGTGTTTTTATGCCCTGATGATCTTCTAGAGTTCATTTAGATCTCAAATCATTGGCATATTTTAGGAGAGGGATTCTTCTGATCTGTCCTTTAGTGAGGGTAAACTCAATTTCCTCTTCACCCCACCCATCCCCCACCAGAAAATTTGAGAGTGGAATATAATGGATTTTTTCTAACTTTGTTTCATTCTGTTTTGCTTCCTACAAGCTTGTTAAAGAAAGCAAGTAGTCAGTTACCAAGACAATCTTTTGCAGTTTGCTGTTAACTGATAACTTGAAGGTGACTTTTTCTTATCCATAACTACACTAACAGACAGAGTTGGGGTATATGCATGCATGGTTTTGTTCTATTTTTGTCTTTTTCAGTTAAATCATTGCCTGTCACAGCTTTATTAGTAATGTACCTAAGGAACTTGGCTACCACAGAGCTAATCCGAACCAATGATAAGCAACCAAACAAACCAACAAACCAAAAAAAAATCAGCTTTTACAACAGAGTGGTAAGGGGAATGCAAAAAGTTAAAAGGTCACTTACTGTACCAGAATTTCCAAATGTTAGTAGTGTTCTCCCCTACATCTCCACTAAACCAGCACCTCCAGAAGAAACCTTCATGGTGGAAAGTCATCTTTTCCTCCTATACAAAACAAACATAATCTTTGCAGCCTGATTCAAGACAGGTAGCTGAGAGAATCAAGTCCTATTGAATATAGGTGAAAAGCTGAAAAAATAATAAAATGCACCCTATCTGCCTGTTGATTATCTCAAAAGAGCATGTACATTTATAGCTCCTTTTGTAAGAACCTCAGACTGCATTTTGTGATTCTGTGCATAAGTTTCAATACATACGTTCTTGCTACCTGTAGAAAGAGATAAACATACCTCTGAACTCACAGAGGTCATTATTATGAAGAAGAAATATACATACGAACCCCAATGTCATCTGGACCTCTTGTACACTTTCCACCTTCTGTAGCAAGAAGCCAGTAATCTGTTCCAAAGGCCACCAAAAAGAGCAAAATTCCCAGAGCCCCAAAGAAGCCTCCAAAAAATATTCCCACATTCAGTTTCATTATTGATTTTTTTCCAGATGACTATGAATCAGGCTTAAAATTGTTTTTAAAAATCAATCCATCCAAATAAAGGACAGAAAAAAAAGAAATTAAGCTAGTTGATGGTTAATGCTGTCTGGACAATGAAGCCTCTGTCTGAAGAATTTTATCTTTCCTTGTCTTTCTTTCTCTGTAGCCCTGTGCCCTCTGGTTGATTTGTGTTCCATGTGGCTGACTTCAGGCCAACAGATGGAAAGGGCCTTCTATTTTAGGACACTGATAGAAGAGCTGTACTCTCTTCATTCTCAGGGCGAGGAGAGTCAAATATAGCTGACCTTCCCCCAACCATCCAGAGACAGGGATTGACTTGAAATATTATTGCAGCTGGTACATTGACATAAGTGGAAGGGAGAAGAAGCAGCAGCAATCTTATCATTCCACTTGGGCTGAATTATAGCATAGTAACAGCAAGCACTTCCAGTATGTCAATGAGAACATTTCTTCTAACACTAACAGGAAAGAAAATACACACAACATTGTGTAAGTTCCTGTAAGTCCCATATCCCTCAAAGGAATAAGGAGGACTCAGGTGCCCAAATCCTACTGAAAATAGGGTACTTAAATCCTACTGATGTCTTTGAAAAGTCCCAAATAAACTGTAACATTTTGCTTCAAATCCTCCTTATTTTAAAAGGGGGAAATTTGCACTTTTTATTTATTTCAGATTAATTCCTTATGTGATTTCTATATTTAGATGTATATACAACGTTAGAAAGCACCTCCCCAAGGCACTTTGCATATATAGATCCAACAGGGCATATAATTCATAACATGTATATTATGAATCAATTATGACAAATTCAAACAAAATAAACCAGGGAAGGAAAAAAACCACTGCAGGCACATAATAACTTAATCCACAAAAGGAATGCCAGCCCTTCTGTGAAGGAGAAGTATTGCTACCTGTCCTGAAGACCATTTCAGAATGTAATGAGGTAGTAGATTCCAAAATTTGAATCCCTCACAGGAAAACCCCCTCTTTTTATGCCAAGCAGGCATTCCCAAGAATCCATGGCATGCTCCCACAAAATGACACCGACCTGGCACAGTGCAGCAAATCTTCCAGACAAAACTCCACTGATTTCCTATCCTGGCAAGTTTGGAATCAAGGAGCTGTGGAAGCTACAACAACTGAAAACAGTCCCAGAGAAACTTTTATTTTGAATTAGCTAGATGACCAGCCATAAGCACTGCTGCAGTTACAATCCATTCTGGATCTTACCTGGGTGTGCTTGAGGAGAGAGAATGGAAGAGACTCCCTGCATTTCCTACATCATACCCCCAAAAGAAAAAGCTGGAGATGGGATGTTTTTTTCAAGGTCTGAGTAAGTTTTTACATAGCTAATGGGAATAACCAATATAATGTTTGCAGATTGTTAGAAAATGGTAGCAAAGAACCTATTTTAATTGAAGTTGTCCAGTGTAAAAGGGCCAGAACAGTAAAAGAATATTACATTTACACATTTATTAATTTAGTTTTGTACTAAACTAACTTAATACACATGTGAGTGTGATATTCTTTTACTGTTCTGGCCCTTTTACACTGGACAATTTAGACACATGGCCATATATTCAATAGATTCTTTGCTATTGTTTCCTGTCTCCCGAAGGCACTGAAACTCCTATTTTTATCTGACCCTTGGAGTTCCCCACGTGTCCGGGAATTTTGCAGTGGGGGAGCAGTGGCCATTAATACAGTCACCCTTCCCACTGCCAAATCCCCAAGCTCCAATCTCTGCACAGCTGGTCAAAGGCAAGCTATGCCACCTTCTCCCATGGGGCCAGGCCATACCTGCCCCCATTTCTGGAATGGAGTCAGGCCATGTCCTTGTCCCTCCCTGCAGGACTACACACCCTTCCCCCACAGGGTCACTTTGGGGCCTGGCCACACTCCCTTCCCTCTCCACTGAGCTGGGTCAGGGTCCTTTCCCCTGTGGGGTACGTTGGGGCCAGCCTGCCCCCTGACCACTCTGTTCAGCCAGATGGTGCCCATCATACCTGCCTGAGCGTTGGATACACTTCATGGATGGACTGGGCACTGTCAATCTGGCACCACTACTGTAATATCTTCAGAATAATGCCCGTCTATGTTGGGAATGAATCAGGAGCCATATCAAGACTTGCTGTGTCATGGTAAAGGTTCGTATTTTCCACGCTTTCATACTCATAGAAAATCTTCTGGCAATTTTTCTTTAATTCATTTAATTCTGATGGTTCATCATGAGGTAAGAAAAAAGTAAGGAAAGGAAATGAACAGAATTCCAATTATTCTTCTGAATCTTAAAACAAGTTTGGTCCCTGATTCATAATACCTAACACTCATAAATTTTCTCTAGGAAAACTAGGATTTTAAGAAAGAAAACTGGGCCAAAGTCATTTCTATATTACTAAATGATTTCCTACATAAATCAACTTCCACCCATTTTGCCTAATTTGTATTAATTGCATTTCTTGTTTCTTAGTGAGGTAGACAGTGGTAAAGGACTTAATACAATGAATGGATTCAGATCTCATGTGATAAAACTGACAAAAGCTGTCTGACTCATTTTTTTTTCAAATAGGCCTACAACTCACTCCTGCATGTTGCTATCCTTTTGTATGCTTTTCCAAACAGCATCTGAGTACCTACCATGCATTTCAAAATAAAAATAACAATAGCAGTCTGCTTCTTTCTTTCTTCTTTGTCTGAAGGAGAAATAGCATGATTAGTTTATGGGGGAGGGTTGTCTGTTTGCTTGTTTATATTTGTGTGTGATTGATTGGATGTAGTGTGTGTATGTTGGGACTTGGCAAGTGTCTCCTTATCTGTGCTGGCAGATATGTCCATGATCTAAAAACAGCCTTTTATACTAGTTGCCTTTCACTGCTGCAGCAGCTGCTGAAAAAAATGTTCAAAGAGCTGAATCATTTTAAGACCTAATGGTCTACTTACTGCTTAAGAAGGATATTTTTAAAAAGATGTGGAATATCTCAACCACTCTTGCAGATACTAATCTGCATTCACCATCCCAGCTAGAATATATTATATCCATATGATAAGGGATCCTGGGTGAAAAATAGCCACCAATTTTCAGGTTAAAAAAAGTAACCCAAAATCCACATTTTCCCATGATTAAAATGTAATGCCTGTAATACACAGATATACATATAGTGGTTTTGCATTTTGATCATATGGATTTTGGGTTACCTTTTTAACCTGAAAATTGGAGGGGGGGTTGTG